TACCTGGTACTCAGTCCATTGGATACAACAAGAGATGATATTTTTTCCTAGATATACATATGCTTATTACAATCAATACAAGTATTTATTCCGAGTGATGAAATTGTTTAATAGGAAGTACAAATGTTCCACATTGTCAGATACCTATGATGTAGTACGTCTCCATGGAAACCTCATTCATTGGTTTCAAATTTAGGATATACTCTATATGTTTTTGGTTTGTGATAAACTTTTTGTTCCGTTTAAATAATATGAAACATCATAATCTTAAAATTTCGAATTATCTGAATGTTATCAATATACACATTCTTGTGTACATTTTAAAGATGTCATCAATTCTTGTGTACCTTTTGACAGTGTCATCAACTCTTGTGTGCTTTTAGAAAATCTCAACAATTCTTGAGTACCTTCTGAATGTGTTATTGATTCTTGGACACATGTTGACTGTGTCATTAATTCATTTTCTAATTCCAATTGACTTTTCGTGTTTGCAAGAAACTTTTTCGAAAAGGTACATTTCATGGTAACACTATATCTATGCTTCACCCTTTCATCGCTGTAGACCATAATGGACTCGTCCATATCAATGCATGGTAGAGTCTACTGAAGTTACATAGGGCTGTAAGGATTAATATTCAATCACAAAAGAAGAGGTTTACTGAATTAAAAAGTTATCATATTTATACTAGACTGAAGTCGGAGAATGCAGAAAAGGATTTTTGTCATCCACTTAAAGCATGTTGTACAACATTTAAAAATAAATCAGATGTAGTCGCAAACAAATCGTGAAAAAAAATTACAGTAGTGAACTCAAGTCATGTCGAATCAACAATCTATGTATAAATCTTATTTCCAGTTATATTATATAAATGTATATATACAAATTCTTTTTTACATTGATAATAACAAATGTATATCCTTAATAATGATATGATCGTCCTTAAAACAAATCACATGATCACCTTCAAAATTAAACACGATCACCCTGCAAAATAATGACAAGTGGCCCTTAAAAATAATGACATAATCACTCTTAAAATTAAACACGATCACCCTGAAAAATAATGACATGATCACCCTTAAAAATATTGCAGCTTTGAAATGAATGACATGATCGTCCTTACAACAAAGTACACGATCACCTTATTATCTTAAATCACTTGATCAACCTGACGATGGTCATACAATGATCTTCATCACCCTTTCCATTCATTAAAACCTATACTTGATTATAATCTATTACACTACAATGATACAACTAATAATAATACTAATTTGAGGTTCTTATATATACCTTTATCACAACCTAGTTCGTAAGTTGTCTCAAAGCGGTTCACAAATTAGTATCCATGGTTATAGAGGCTTTGCAACCAGCCAATACCTTTCTCAACTCCCTGGGGAGCATACAGCCGGTGCTGCCATTTCAGCGCTCACAGCTAGCATTCAACAATTCTAGCTCTGCCCAACCACATACCTACCCATTTACAGCGGAGTAGACTGGAACAAACTGAGTAGACTGGAACAAGCGGAGTAAAGTATCTTGCTTAAAGATACAACACAGTGCCGTGCCATGACTCGAACCAGCAACCCTTTGGTCATGAGCCCAACGTCCTACCACTAGACTACTACGCCTACTAAATGATCGTGAATAACAATCCTTATGATAAAACAAATGATCATGATTAATCACACAATCATCAATCAAATGATTAAAATTAATCAAACAACACTGTAAATCATTATACAAAAAAAATGAAAAAAACACCTTAATTAAACATTTTAATCTCTTTCTCATTCTTTCCAGATGAACAATAATATACATAAAATAATTGGGTCACAGATCAAAATGTTTTTTGATGAAACTCATCTTTTTTACAATTATTCCAGACACTTTTCAGGCTGAAGAACAATGTTTCTAAAATGATGGCATTTACAACATATTTATTCAAAAAAAGGTACAAGGGCAGGCCATAAGTTCATGCCTAAGATTGATTAATCATTGACAAAAAATCATGATAGACAAGAAAGGTGATCGGAATAGGTTGAAGGAAACTCCGTCTCAAGTAACAAACTTGATCAGATTTCTATAAACGATACCGCCTTCCATAACTTCTACGCACCTTTGTCTACTTTTACAGATTGCCAGACATTTCTACAGACAACTTGTAGACTTATTTAGACATGTACAAACTTATACAGATTTGTACACATATCTACAAACTTATACATTTCTCTACAAACTGATACAGATATCTACAAACTTATACAGATTTTGACAAACTTATACAGATTTGTACAAATCTCTACAAACTTATACAGATTTGTACAGATCTCTAAAACTTATTCAGAATGAAAAGATGTACAGATCTCTACAAACTTATTCAGATTTGTACAGATCTCTTCAAATTTATACAGATTTGTACATATCTCTACAAGCATATACAGATTTGTACAGATATCTACAAACCTATACAGATCTCTACAAGCTTATACAGATAACTACAAACTTATACATATCTCTACAAACTTATACAGATTTGTACATATCTCTACAAACTTATACAGATTTGTACAGATCCCTACAAATGTATGCAGATCGCTACAAGCTTATACAGATCTCCACAAGCTTATACAGATGTCTACAAGCTTATACAGATTTGTACATATCCCTACAAACGTATACAGATCCCTACAAGCTTATACAGATCTCTACAAACTTATACAGATCTCTACAAACTTATACCGATCTCCACAAATTTATACAGATCTCTACAAGCTTATACAGATATCTACAAACTTATACAGATCTCTACAAACTTAAACAGATTTGTACATATCTCTACAAGCTTATACAGATTTGTACAGATCTCTTAAAATTTATACAGATTTGTACATATCTCTACAAGCATATACAGATTTGTACAGATCTATACAAACGTATACAGATCTCTACAAGCTTAAACAGAAATCTACAAACTTATACAGATTTGTACATATCTCTACAAACTTATACAGATTTGTACATATCTCTACAAACTTATACAGATTTGTACATATCTCTTAAAATTTATACAGATTTGTACATATCTCTACAAGCATATACAGATTTGTACATATCTCTACAAGCTTATACAGATTTGTACATATCTCTACAAGCATATACAGATTTGTACATATCTCTACAAGCTTATACAGATTTGTACATATCTCTACAAGCTTATACAAATTTGTACAGACCTCTACAAGCATATACAGATTTGAACAGATCTCTACAAGCATATACAGATCTCTACAAACGTATACAGATCTCTACAAGCTTATACAGATCTACAAGCTTATACAGATCTCTACAAACTTATACAGATTTGTACATATCTCTACAAGCTTTTACAGATCTCAACAAACTTATTCAGATTTGTACAGATAAGTAAATATCATTACAAGATTTGTACAGATCTCTTTAGTCTTCCAAACTTATAAGATTTGTAAAGATCTCTTTCCAATAAGGGTTGTTAAAAAGTGCAACTATTTATTATTTTCAAGTGTTAGATCTGATTAACTAATGAACGTATTACAAAAAGTTTTCAGCCAATCTGTCAAACCAAAAAAACAGAAGTTCCAAGATCTCAATTCATTGTTGTAATTAAAAATAACTGTTTAAGATATTGGTTTTCACAAAGAGTAAACCTGACATAATCTCATTCAAAATTATCAGTTAAAAGAACTGAGAGCCTTTAGAGCACTATACATTTCTTCGATTTTCCTTAATATCAATTATGGTATTGCGAATACAAATCAATGCACTTTCATTTTCAGATAATATACACGAAAATCTCACACACACATCTGATATCAGTAATCACCCAAAGTATGATAATGATAGCTCTAGCTTACACCCTACCATATACATATCACTATGTACACCTCACAATATACATATCACAAGGTACACCTCACAATATACATATCACCAGGTACACCTCACAATATACATATCACCAGGTACACCTCACAATATACATATATCACCATGTACACCTCACAATATACATATATCACCATGTACACCTCACACTATCCATATATCACCATGTACACCTCACACTATACATATATCACCATGTACACCTCACACTATACATATATCACCATGTACACCTCACACTATACATATATCACCATGTACACCTCACACTATACATATATCACCATGTACACCTCACACTATACATATATCACCATGTACACCTCACACTATACATATATCACCATGTACACCTCACACTATACATATATCACCATGTACACCTCACACTATACATATATCACCATGTACACCTCACACTATACATATATCACCATGTACACCTCACACTATACATATATCACCATGTACACCTCACACTATACATATATCACCATGTACACCTCACACTATACATATATCACCATGTACACCTCACACTATACATATATCACCATGTACACCTCACACTATACATATATCACCATGTACACCTCACACTATACATATATCACCATGTACACCTCACACTATACATATATCACCATGTACACCTCACACTATACATATATCACCATGTACACCTCACACTATACATATATCACCATGTACACCTCACACTATACATATATCACCATGTACACCTCACACTATACATATATCACCATGTACACCTCACACTATACATATATCACCATGTACACCTCACACTATACATATATCACCATGTACACCTCACACTATACATATATCACCATGTACACCTCACACTATACATATATCACCATGTACACCTCACACTATACATATATCACCATGTACACCTCACACTATACATATATCACCATGTACACCTCACACTATACATATATCACCATGTACACCTCACACTATACATATATCACCATGTACACCTCACACTATACATATATCACCATGTACACCTCACACTATACATATATCACCATGTACACCTCACACTATACATATATCACCATGTACACCTCACACTATACATATATCACCATGTACACCTCACACTATACATATATCACCATGTACACCTCACACTATTCATATATCACCATGTACACTTCACACTATACATATATCACCATGTACACCTCACACTATACATATCACTATGTACACTTCACACTATACATATATCACTATATACACCTCACAATATACATATCACTATGTACACGTCACACTATACATCTATGACTGTATTTGTCTGCCAATAAGCCCTGTGTTAAGGTCTTTGCTATTTAGGAGAAATTAATAAAATCAGTGCACAGGAAGTTAATTCATATAGAGTACAAAAGGGGGATTATTTTTACACAAATACAAAGTAAATCTCTTTCACTTTACAATATAGATATCATATCACTAGCTTAATATATCTAACAATACTGATTTATGTCTTAAAAAAATATAAAAAATATTAAGTGTTAGAACATCCTGTTCTTGATGACGAAAATACTTCCAATAGCCATGGTTACGATGACAAGGAGGCTGTATCTGACATCAGCGCCCCGTGAAACGTCGCGAGTCAAGTCTTCCTGGACGTACAACAGACGATCAATGATGTGTATGAGACCATTTGTGGCGCCGATATCCATGCTGATGACGTTGGCTGTTACACCACTGAACTGGATCTTAACATCTAAAAATTAAATGAGACAAGGATGTTATAATTACTGATGTATAAATATAAATAGAGGGTATTATGATTACTGAGGTATAAATATAAATAGAGGATATTATGATTACTGAGGTAAAAATATAAATAGAGGATATTATAATTACTGAGGTACAAATATAAATAGAGGATTTTATCATTCCTGAGGTATAAATATAAATAGAGGATATTATGATTACTGAGGTATAAATATAAATACAGGATATTATAATTACTGAGGTATAAATATAAATACAGGATAATATGATTATTGAGGTATAAATATAAATACAGGATATTTAATGGTTTCCTGTTGCATTTTAGCAATGTATGTATAGATAATTGTATTTTTACTTAATGTATAACGGTGATTTGTGTGCTTAATTGGTTTATTATTATAACTAAAACTAATATCCATATGTTGTTTAGTGCTTTAGAGTGATTTTACAGATTATATAGGGCGGTATATAAATGTTGTATATTATATTATCATTGAATACCATATACATTTTAAGATTCACAGCAGATTATGGAGATTTTCAGGAGTGTGAAGTATATACGAAAATATCAGGATAGTCTGCAATACAAGTAAAATACATAAATATGGTTTACAACAGGAAAACCATTAATGTTCTGTTTATTACATTTTTTAATAACACAACACAAATATTCCTCAAAAGTTTCTTGTTACAAAACAAACAAGTGTTTCTTTGTGACGTTTCGATGACTAGTACATTATGTAACCGTCACCTTCATCAGACAAATGACCAGTGAAGCATATGCACACAAAGGTGAAAAATGTCTCCAAGTTGTCCACAAATCGATGTGGATTCGGCTACGCTGTAAACGAATGTACAATAGTTGTTATATATGTACTGAAATGACTCGATTCAGCTACGCTTTGTTAAATACTTGGTCATAGATGTGCGAGAGTCAATGAGCCCCCTCATCTCGATTTAGAACTGGCCCACTGCAGCATATCCAGATGGCTTCCTTGATCTGCTGCTTGAATACATTGCTCTCTCTGTCCAAAACTTTGGAGTTTTACACATTTTACACGTTTGTGTACATACGCTTCACTGGTCATTTGTCTGATGAAGAGTACATACCTCCTAGTCATCGAAACGTCACATAGAAACACTTATTGGTTATGTAACAAGAAACTTTTCATAATAATCTGTCTCTGATTAGCTTGGCTCTAATTGGACCCCAGCACTTACCTCTGTCCATAGACTTAAGTATACGAATAGACTCGCCCGTCTTAGCTGTAAAGATATGGTTTGTGTTGGATAACCTCTGCAAGGAGATTTGTCGTCCTTCAAACAACAGTCTCTTGAATAGCTGAAATATTTATAGATTTGAATTTCAAACAACACTGTCTTGAATTGAAATTTACAGTAACACTTTCGGCACCCTCCAGGGGTTACACTTTCTTACACTCTATTCAACCTCCAGGGGTAAAACTCATTTACGCTCTCTGCATCCTACAGGGGTTAAACTTACTCACACACTCTGCACTCTCCAGGGGTATTACTAACTCTCTACACCATCCAGGGGTAACACTCACGTACCTTCTCTGCACCCTCCAAGGGTTACACTCACTTACACTTTCTGCATCATCTAGGGGTTACACTCACTTACGCACTCAGCATCCCCAAGGGGTAACACTCACTTATGCTCTCTGCACTCTCCAGGCCTAGGGTTACACTCACTTACACTCTCTGCATCCTCTAGGGGTTACATTCACTTACGATCTCTACACCCTCCAGGGGTTACTCACTTACTCTCTCTGCACCCCCCAGGGGTCACAACGATTTGCATTTCAATTCTAATGAAATCATTACAAAACAACACATCCATGTTGTTTAGGCTTAATTATTCTTAGTTCTAAAAATTAAAATCTTACATTAAAATACAGGACCAACTTACATATTGAAGTCTCTGTGTGTCCCTCATAATCTTCATTCCAATACTTGTCTTCTGGAAGTAGTCTATTGCTGTGGAATTAGGCACGAAGAAAGTAAACGTACAGCCAGAGCACGTCCCCATGTCATACTGGGACACCTGGTTACTGGGGTTGTAACTGTTAGACTGCTGGCTGTACGGGTTGAATGTCGTCTGCTGATAATTGTTTCCGTAATTGTTGTTACTGTTGTCGTAGGAGTTGCTAGCGTAATCGTAACCAGGAGGGTAGCCGTAGAGCTCAAAGTTGCAACGTTTTGCGGTGAAGCGATCATCTGTCAAGTAATTCTTCATTCCTACAGAACGGATGTAATCGTATGTTCTCCTGTAAAATATGAATATTATTTAAACTTTAGTCCTACAGAGCAGATGTAATCGTATGTTCTCCCGTAAAATATGAATATTATATAAGCTTCTTTCCTACAGAGCAGATGTAATCGTGTGTTGTCCTGTAAATATATATATTATATAAACTTTTCAATCATCTCACAGTTGGATATTTAAGATTAATATCACATAGATTTCTATGGAGTACATTTCCTAAATCTTGACAAATTACTTAATACCCAAAATATCAATAATAGCAAAACAAAGTATTGCAAGGCAATCCATAGTCCCCATCGGTGCTGATTTCTATATCTAACAAACAGTACACTTATATCAGGAAGTCTAGGTCACAGCGAGGTCATACTGACCTACTTCTACCACTCTCCAATCCCAAGATGTCTTTGTACACCAAATCTAGTTACTTCAGGTGAAAAAGTATAGAAGATATGCCTCAGACCATCCTTGATATCCAGGGGTTACACTCACTTTTGCTCTCTACACCCCTGGAATATGTCGTAGCAATATCGAAGGTTCTGTGTGCACTACCATTTGGATGAGACGAGAAGACTAGTTTGATTATTTTGATGTACGTCAAAAGAATCTCGCGAATGGAATAATTTGATTCTCTGAATTAAGCATATTTTTTTGGACAAAAAGAAATTGAACATTTTGAAACAGAACCCAAATTCTCAATTTATTTTCAAATTCATGATTGCAAGTACTGATCATATTATTCATATACCCCTATCAACCAAACAACATCATATATCACAAATCACAGTATTTTATCCTGTATAGTGGGAAATTTTCGCTTCAGTTAAATTTTCGCCTTTTTCACCCTCGTAATGAGGGCGAATTAATCCTAACAGCAAACAGTAGTAAACAAAATATCAATGGAAACTGAATGAAAGGATGAACTTAACATCGGGCGAAAATGGATTTTAATGTTATATATATCACTATAAACGGTATTTACAAAGACCAAATAACATCATGTATGACTGACCACAATATAGAAACTAAATGAATGGGCAAACTTAATCTTTGGCGAAAATTGTTTTTTTAATGTCGAAGGGCGAAAATTTGACCGGGCAAAAATTTCCAAGTTTACAGTATTTGCAGTATTTACAACGACCAAATATCATCACGTTTCGCTGATCGCAATATACTTACAGCAGCCAAAGATCATCGCATATTAACATGGGTAAGTCCAAATAAGGAATACCCAAGATGGAGTCAATAAGGTGGACTCTCCCGTTGATCGCTTTCAAATCAGGGCGAACAACACGTGCTTTAACATATCCTCCTTGGACCCAGCTCTCTGTTATAAATATTAAGTCACATTTAACCAAACAATGGACACAGCCCTCTGTTATAAATATTAAGTCATATTTAACATAACAATGGACACAGCCCTCTGTTATAAATATTAAGTCATATTTAACATAACAATGGTCACAGCCCTCTGTCATAAAAAATAAAGTCACATTTATCATATCAATGGAACTAGGTCCTGTTATAACAACAACAAACCTATGACCTTTCATCTGTTAAAAGCATGTTGGGTCAAGTCACATACGTTTGCCTCTATCCATTAACTATTTCTGATTTTCTTGTTATATTATCAAGTTTATCCAACATACCGTTCCTATCGTTGTACACAGTGACATTCCAGCCATCGTACATAGTTTGTCGGTACTGTCGGCTCTCGTAACCTCCAACGATAGCGGAGATCTCAATATCTTGGTACGATTTAAGGATGTGGAAGCGAATCATCTACAAGGGATAACAGACTTTTAGTACTTTATAATATCTTATTGAATACAAACTTATTTCAATTTGAAATGTCAACAAATTTTATTGATAATCAATTGGATTGAACATCAGACTTTAAGCCTATAATAAGTTCTCTCCATAATACAATACATTTTATTCAAATAATATCTGATAATTGATAGAAATGGAAATTATGTAATATAATATATAGTAAGATATAAGCATTTATCACATAATATACTGTGTTATCCATTGAATAAACCCATGTCATATTTGTATGCAATTAACCCATGTAATATGACCTATCAGCCCTGTGAGTGGTTGTAAGTTTCAATTGTTTCAATTGTGACGTCACGCCTGGGACAAGTACATGAACTTTATTGTTAGACTTACGCACAGAAGTCAAAATGGCGTCTTTTTACATTTCATGGTTGCATGAAAACTATCGTTTTACACAAATAAATGCCACAAATCTTGATTATGTGATAAAAAGGATCAGAGCTAAAATGAAAAATTTGTGACGAGTTTCATTATCTCATACGAAATGGAAATTCATGTAAGATCCTGTTTATCAAAGATACACATACAGATAATGCAATTTTTTTTTTATATATGACTATAGTTAGGTATTTCATTATTACAGTGATCATGTAACACTAACTTCAAGTGATTGTGATGACAGAAGGAAGAGGAAAAAGGAAAAGTCTTAAACCAAGTTAGTACAAAGAATTTCTCAAACATGATGCATATTATGAAGTTTCAAATCAGCTTTGACTTTCAAAGCATAAACAGCTGTGATCTTCCACTCACACATAATTGTGATCTTCATAACCGTGGATAGTTTATCGCGGTCCAAACAGTTGAACCGGTTGGACCCGAGTTATTTGTTTATGAAATAAGGTTGGACCTAGTAATCTGATGCTGATTTCAGGCGAGCCTTGACCAAAGCCTTACAAGGCCTGCATAAACATTTGCAGGTCCACAAGTATTAATACCCAAAATGTTACATTTAAAAACAGACAAATCGTTTGTTCCACATAAACAAACAGGCCCCTATACGTATGCAAACTTACATGTAAGTGTAACTTTCACATGATATAGCAATAACCTTAACCCCACACGTAGATTAAACTTTGATCATCTAGCTATGACATTGACCTTACCTTGTCTACCTGAGACAGGTCTGAGACGAGGTTGACCCCTGGTACTCCCTGTAATTTGATGAAGGCGTTGTCAATGGGGACAAACACGTTGACTCCAGAAGCCTGTACAAGGGCGTTTCTGGTATCCGGCTGGGCCTTGTTAAGGTACTGGTTAAAGTCACTGTAACAGAATTCAAAGTTCAGGTATAACACATTTTAACAGAGTTCAGAGGTCAAGTATAAAAGTCCTATCAAAATGCTATGAGTAAGACTCGGGATTCATATATAGAATTATCAGTAGGTCAAGTATAAAGCACTGTAACAAATTTCATAGGTCTGGTATAAATCATTGTAACAGAGTTCAGAGGTCAAATATAAAGCATTGTAACAGAGTTCAGAGGTCAAGTATGAAGAATTGTAATAGAGTTCAGGCGTCAATTATGAAGAATTGTTAGAGTTCAGGGGTCAAGAATAAAACATTACAATAGAGTTCAGGGGTCAATTATGAAGAATTGTTAAGAGTTCAGGGGTCAAGAATAAAACATTGTAATAGAGTTCAGGGGTATAGTATGAAGTATTGTAATAGAGTTCAGAGGTCAAGTACAAATGTATTATCAAAGGTCAATGGTAAAGAGCCCTTAATTTAGGTCAAACTTCAGAGACGTACTTTACATATAGGTCAAAGGTTCTATACATATAGGTCAGAAAGGACAAAGGACATTAATTCAGACCAGAAGTCTTGCAGATAGATCTGCAACAATCAAGAGTAGATAAGTGCCACACTTGTGTCAAAGGTCATATAGAGGTCATAGGTAGCAAACTTACGGTGACTCCTGAGTGATGGTTTCACGAACAGAGTTGTATACATAACCGAGGAGGTGGTCGACGACGTGAATGACACCGTTGTATACCGTAATGTTTCCTCGCACAATGGACGCATCAACTCCTTCACTGTTTACGTACACTACAACAAAGTCAAATACAATCAAATAACAGGTCTGGTATCCCCACATATGTGTTGGGAAGATCATTCCATTTTCGGCTGGGGGGTTTTCCCTATAGAAATTACCCTTTACTCTGGATACGATAAAAGTGTTGATGTGAGCAGAATTTCCTATAGGAAGGATCAAAGTGTAAATGTGAACACAATTTTTCTGTAGGAAGGATCAATATTACCTTGGTCTCCATAAGGTCTTCGGAATCTGATCAATCGACCGAGGTGGCCACGGAATCCCTCGTTATGATTGACATACTGCGTAAATAACACTCGGTCCGGGATGATATGAGCCTTAAGGACCTAGTAACACAAAAGTACGGACTTACTGCTGTGTTCACTTATTAATACGAATCAGGCAGTACAATTCAAAATTCATATAAAGCCTATTTTATTCCACTAAAATATTGAAATCTAATTACAAAATGATACAAATAAGAAACATTGTTCTGGTTTTGACAGAGTGTTTACTTATATGATTATTACTGTGATCGTCTGGTAATAAGCCCACCCCTGCTTTGAGTCAGAGATTATGTGTTGGTCCTTTGTTTCTATTGCAGGATAACTACGGTAACTGCACAAAGTTGTAAAAAACATAATATACAGTTCTGTATATCGCTCAGTGGAAATAGCCGACAGTGAAGCTGATGTGTCCGATCATCATACAATAGAATGTGAGATATCAACGTTTTATTTTCTACACAAATAACGTACGTATTAAACATGTTGCAACGTTTCAAGACCGACTGGTCCCTTTCTCAAGCTATGACTGAGTGAGTGACCCGGTCCCTTTGTCAAGCTATGACTGAGTGAGTGACTCGGTCCCTTTCTCAAGCTATGACTGAGTGAGTGACCCAGTCCCTTTCTCAAGCTATGACTGAGTGAGTGACCAGGTCCCTTTGTCAAGCTATGACTGAGTGAGTGACCCGGTCCCTTTCTTAAGCTGTGACTGAGTAAGTGACCCGGTCCCTTTCTCAAGCTATGACTGAGTGAGTGACCCGGTCCCTTTGTCAAGCTATGACTGAGTGAGTGACCCGGTCCCTTTCTCAAGCTATGACTGAGTGAGTGACCCGGTCCCTTTCTCAAGCTATGACTGAGTGAGTGACCCGGTCCCTTTCTCAAGCTATGACTGAGTGAGTGACCCGGTCCCTTTCTCAAGCTATGACTGAGTGAGTGACCCGGTCCCTTTCTCAAGCTATGACTGAGTGAGTGACCCGGTCCCTTTCTCAAGCTATGACTGAGTGAGTGACCCGGTCCCTTTCTCAAGCTATGACTGAGTGAGTGACCCGGTCCCTTTCCAAGCTGTTACTGAGTGAGTGACCCGGTCCCTTTGTCAAGCTATGACTGAGTGAGTGACCCGGTCCCTTTCCAAGCTATGACTGAGTGAGTGACCCGGTCCCTTTCCAAGCTGTTACTGAGTGAGTGACCCGGTCCCTTTGTCAAGCTATGACTGAGTGAGTGACCCGGTCCCTTTCCAAGCTATGACTGAGTGAGTGACCCGGTCCCTTTCCAAGCTGTTACTGAGTGAGTGACCCGGTCCCTTTGTCAAGCTATGACTGAGTGAGTGACCCGGTCCCTTTCCAAGCTATGACTGAGTGAGTGACCCGGTCCCTTTCCAAGCTGTTACTGAGTGAGTGACCCGGTCCCTTTGTCAAGCTATGACTGAGTGAGTGACCCGGTCCCTTTCCAAGCTATGACTGAGTGAGTGACCCGGTCCCTTTCCAAGCTGTTACTGAGTGAGTGACCCGGTCCCTTTGTCAAGCTATGACTGAGTGAGTGACCCGGTCCCTTTCCAAGCTATGACTGAGTGAGTGACCCGGTCCCTTTCCAAGCTGTTACTGAGTGAGTGACCCGGTCCCTTTGTCAAGCTATGACTGAGTGAGTGACCCGGTCCCTTTCCAAGCTGTTACTGAGTGAGTGACCCGGTCCCTTTCCAAGCTGTTACTGAGTGAGTGACCCGGTCCCTTTGTCAAGCTATGACTGAGTCACTCATTCAGTCATAGCTTGGAAAGGGACCAGTCGGTCTTGAAGCGTTGCAACATGTTTAATACGTACGTTGTTTGTGTAGAAAGTAAAACGTTGATATCTCACATTCTATATGGAATGATGTCAATCAATCAGTCAATCTTGAAACGATGTGACACGTTTAATACATACATCATTTGTGTATAAAGTGAAACATATACAGATAAGATAATTCAAATTAACAAATCTTATTGAAGATGTAAGAAACTGAGAAGTTTTTGAGACTTAATTTCAATAAATAAATGTCTCGTACTGTCAGACTTTATCAGAGGTGAAAATCTGTGAAATTTTGCGTCACAAGGTGATATCTAGCACATATGACATTAGCTTTTTTAAATTCAGTCAGGAGAGCTTTAACTCATTGACCCCTGATTTTCATAATGAACTTTTCCAACCTTTTAATTGGAAGAGCTCATATGTGTCTTAAGGGGTTAATAAGTTAATAGAGATGAGGGGAAAACTTACATTGTTTAATATCCGAGGGTTCTGCTGGAGATAACTAAGTTTGGATGATGGTATTTTGGCCATGGCTTCATCATTAGGAACAAAAAGTGTGACCTTTTTGTCGCGGTTAGAGAGCTCGTTCAGTGTGCTGTAGTAACCCTCCTGTAGATATCGTGAGATCAGATTGTAAAACATGCTGCAACATAAAAATATATACAAAATTGAGACTTCAATCACAAAGTTTGGGTAAAATTTTGCTGCAACGATACATGAACATGACGATACAATATATACCATGATACTGGGGTCACGATACAAGATGTATTACGATACTGGGGTCACGATTCAATATGTATCACAATACTGGGGTCACGATTCAATATGTATCACAATACTAGGGTCATGATTCAATATGTATCACAATATTGGGGTCACGATTCAATGTCTATCACAATACTGGGGTCATGATTCAATATGTATCACAATACTGGGGTCACGATTCAATACATATAATAACATTGAAAAAAGATATGTTACAAAATTTTAATGCCAATAACTGGAACTAGACTTGGTCCAGAATGGTCATTAGTTTAAAGTTTCACACAATTCACTTCTTTCGATGTGCATGCCGAGCTGGATCTGTCACTCGCCATGTTGTAACGGATATGAGTGGACTAAAGGATGAGTGTCTATAAGGCTTTGGACCCCGTTATATCTGGGTTCTCACCTTCATATCAACAGTGGTTCACCATTACCGATACCTGTTTATTTCTTGCAGCATTTACGCCTCATATGAAGATTTACACAAGGATAATCCGCTATTTTGTTACATGTGTAGGGATGATCCTAGTCACAAATCCGGTATAGATTCCGGACCAAAGTAGAAACTGGTTAATAAATGTTATGAAAAAAAATGTATTCTGTACATAATTAACACACTGACCCCTGAAGACACATTTAAACTCCTCCAATTCAAAGGTTGGAATTGTTCATTATAAAATTTCAAGGGTGAATGAGTTAAGCAGCCAACATCACTGGCTTCCCTAGGTGATCACCTACACAGGTTTGACTCCTATCAATTTGCTCTTTCCTTAAACATATACATAAGGGAAATTGTAATTCATGTTGCTCTGTAGAATAAATAAAGGGAGGTAAGTCTGTTCTCGCTTACCTTGTTTGCACTTTCGGATTATCAGGATCCGATATGTAGCCATATGCCATCTTTATACTAGAGATGCCGATGAAGCGTGAAAGCCCTTGGACCACACCATTGGTAGCGATCAGGTCCTTCTGGTCATTGGAGATTTCTGCTCCGTTTACGAAGTACACAGTGGGGCCAAAATACGAACTCTGAAAAGACCAATAGGATGACCTATACCGTTCAATGCTGTATCTCCAAAACAGAAAAAAATCTACTTACATCTGTATTGTGTGTTTTTCTGACTTGGAGTTACTTGACCATTTACTAAAGCAAAAAGCTATGTATAAGATGTACAAACATTAAAATTCTCTTTTTCACAAAAACCTTCAACACTGGATGATACTGGGACTTTTTCATTGTGCTATTGGTCATGCTATTTGTTATAATATTATTACTCAGTGAAATCACAAGGAATAATTTCAAAATGTTTTTTAAAAGCCCCTGAAAAGTCCTGCAACCTATAATTATCTTATTTCAGAGGCTATAACATAGATTTGGATCATCCTTAAAAAATGGTTAATTTGTTTGTAGTTTCCCTACTCACATTTTTTTGGCTGGAGTTAAATTGGTATTTTCCTTTATAATTTACTTTAAAAAATCTCTTGTTACAATTTTAAGTTTTAGTGATTTTTCAGCGAAGCAAATATTTTAACCGAAACAAAGCCTGATTAGGTGCCCTAAATTTTAGCAAGTCGGTCTGGAAACTGCAAACAATTTTGTAAGGATTGCCATAACAGTATAAATAAGGGGAACAACTTTCAGTGCTCCTTTAGGTAATTTGAGGAACATTAAACTGAAGTTTTTATTTAATTTGCAGTTCTAAGAGAGTCTTTTAGGTAGCTAGGCAGTTGGAGGCAAAGAAAACAATGTCCTAGTTACCGCGAATGAGCTGGTCCGCTGGCGACGGTTGATGAAGATTCTTTCCCCATTGGACGCCATACTCTGGTACGCCTGATTGTCCTGCATATCTCCTGTGGTCAGCCTGTTGTTTATCACTGTAATAAGATAAAGATTGCCTCCCCTTGTTTACTATTCAAATGACTGGTTTATCTCCCCTTGTAATTAATCACTGTTACAAGACAATGTGCTACCCCCTTTGTTTACTATTTCGATGACTGGATTATCTGGACTATTATCATTGTAATTAGACAGTGGTCTACCTAGTCAAGAAATTACTATTACCTTACAGTAAAACATTGATTTATGTTATACATCTGTCTGTATATTGTTAAAAACATTGCAGGTTTATGATGGACTGAAGTAGTATGAGACCACAGTGCTTATTTCTGGATAATTTACAAAGCTTGTTTATGTCAACCTGGAAGGTTTGAACATACAGTTTAACAATTTAAAAAATAATATAATTGATGCACAATACAACTACTACAGGTATCAGGTTTGAGAAAGTTTTGAACTTACACGTGTGAAACTTGACGAAGTTTTGAAGTTGTGGTGACCTGTCAGGCCAGCTGTCGATTTCACTTCGTTCATCGTACGATATGCTCTCAAATGCGGTGTTGTTCGGGGCAAACACGGTGAACTGGCCACTGGAATTGTACAGGTACGTAAGGTCCGCTCGGGCTATCAGAGACGCAAACTTTTAACAGAAAAAAAAAGAAAATATTAAATCCAATAACACAATGTAGTGTAATTTCAATGGGCACTGCAGTGTAAGCTTAGGGATGGGGTGTAAAATTTGACACTGATTTTCTCTTCAATAAGATGCATCAGTTTGGAAATCTGTGATGTCAAAGTTTTACTTTCTACACAGTGTACAAGATGTACTAGTAAACGTGTCACAACACTTCAAGACCAACTGGTCCTTTTTCAAGCTTAAATATGTACATGTACATTGTTTGTGTTGAAAATAATATTTTGATATGACATTTCTTTTCATTCTAAGATAAGCTGAACTTTATCTTTTAAGATAACTTTGTGCAAGTTTAAACCCATTAAACAGATATTTACAAACAAAAAGTCGGACTAGGATTGCCACAAATTAAACAATAATGTGTTATATTTATGATTACCTGTCTGAATACAGTGCAAGTTAAATTGTAATATTTTTCATTCATTTTTTACAATAAGTTGATATTTATACTTTGCAGTCCCTTACATAAACTTTTGTGACAGTCTGCAGCCCCTAACATAAACATTGTCACAGTCTACAACCCATAACATAAACATTGTAACAGTCTACAACCCATAACATAAACATTGTAACAGTCTGCAGTCCCTAACATAAACAGTGTAACAGTCTGCAGCCCCTAACATAAACATTATAAGTCTGCAGCCCCTAACATAAACATTGTAACAGTCTACAGCCCCTAACATAAACATTGTAACAGTCTGCAGCCCCTAACATAAACATTGTCCCAGTCTAAAACCCATAACATAAACATTGTAACAGTCTGCAGTCCCTAACATTAACATTGTAACAGTCTGCATCCCCTAACATAAATATTGTAACAGTCTAGATCTGCAGCCCCCAACATTAACATTGTAACAGTCTACAGCCCCTAACAAAAACATTGTAACAGTCTACAGCCCCTGACAAAAACATTGTAACCGTCTACAGCCCCTAACATAACTATTGTAACAGTCTACAGCCCCTAACATAACGATTGTAACAGTCTACAGCCCCTAACATAAACATTGTAACAGTCTGCAGCCCCTAACATTAACATTGTAACAGTCTGCAGCCCCTAACATAAATATTGTAACAGTCTAGATCTGCAGCCCCTAACATTAACATTGTAACAGTCTACAGCCCCTAACATAAACATTGTAACAGTCTGCAGCCCCTATCATAAACATTGTAACAGTCTACAGCCCCTAACATAACCATTGTAACAGTCTACAGCCCATGACATAAACATTGTAACAGTCTACAGCCCCTAACATAAACATTGTAAAAGTCTGCAGCCCCTAACATAAATAAATAATAATATATACAACATTTGATATAGCGCCCTATCTAGCTAACATAAGCCACACTCTAAAGCGCTTTACAGTACATAGATATACAATTAGCATATACATTAATCAATACAATTTTGAGGGATTCACAGGAGCTGCCTTATTAGGCGCTAACTACTTGTCATATGCCACCTGGCTAATATCTCCCTATGTGTGTATGCCTGTGTGTGTGCTGTAGATTTGATGTGTTAAACTTAGTGTGACTGATTTTGAAGCCTTCCCATATAACCCTTGTGATAATGACATGGTGTCCTCTATATGTAATAGCCTTGGGAATTTTCAGCTGAATTATAGATTTATTGTTTTATTGGTGTACCTGAGCCCTTTGCCAGGGTGTCAAACGAAATATATCATCAGGTCTGAGAGGTAGATAATAAAACAATCATACAATCAAATACCTTCCCCTCCAAACTGTTACACTATTTCAGCATTTACAATTTTACATATACCTACACCAGTACATGAATTACGCTTATGGAAGGAACAACACAAATTCTTGTCCATTATTTACAGAGAAAAGTTTTGATCATTATAATTACTGTATCATATTTCTTATTTTACCCATTCACCCCTAAAGTCACATTAGAACCTTACAAAATGAAAGACTGGGCAAGTCCAGTTTTAATATGTAGGCTGAATGAGTTAAATCACTCAGTCAGTTGGTATTGTTACCTCCAAGTTAGTTCTGACACTTTATCGCTGCAAGTTATTGTGGGGTTTTTTGGTTTTTTTTTATTAAATCAGAAGATATACTAATTTGTTTTTACAATGTCTTTAAGCTGTTTGTACAAAGATTTCAGTATATATTTAAGTGTCACATAGCTACATGTACACTCTTAAAAAACCCTAGCACAGTGTACAATTTTGACTGCTGATGGTATGGATCTACATATGATCATGAACTTGTGATGAATGTGTACAGCCTGCTCTTGTCATCGTTACTGCTTGCACAGTTCTCTTTAAATTAATTACGTATATATAGACATGTAAAGCGGGAATCGTTTAACCTATATCTATATACCTGTAGGCTCTGTACTACCATCACAATGTTTATATAGACATGTAAAGCGGGAATCGTTTAACCTATATCTATACCTGTAGGCTTTGTACTACCATCACAATGTTTATATAGACATTAAATGTTCCATGATCACATGTACATGTACATATATTATTTTCCATGTACATATATACAGAAACCTTGATACAATACCCCTCATTTCATTTGCCACCTTGTTTTAATTTACCGCCAACACATTTCAAAGTACCTTTTTCCTGTTTATTTTTAAAAATTCCTTTACATATTTCCCTTATTTATCACCAAACCCCTTTATAACACCATGATTTCTATAGACAAATGGTGGCAATATAAAAAGGGACTGTATACACAATGAACAATAGAAGTCAGGATTAAAAAAAATGTTTTTGCTCAACTTTAATAAATCAATTTTCTATTTTAATCCAAGGTTTTTGGGGGTCTTGTTCTTAAAATTAGGTAGAAATTTATCTCCAGTTAGTGGCCATGGGAATATGTCAAATGTCATGATCAGCAGCCAATGGTACCGTATATATGTATACCACCAGTTAGGGTTACTCTGTCATATACAGCTGAACCCAGGTGCCATCAAGCTTTACATCTAATTAGCATATATATGTATAAGTTGACCTTCACGGTGCGTAATTTGATGACCATGTACTGTAAACCTTCAGCTTACATATACATTGTATAAAGATTTTATTGAAGGTGACCTTGGGATTTATAAAACCGAACACCATAACAACCTAGCTACCTGTGGCGTGGGTAGCATTGTGTTTGAGGGTAAGGACCCCATGTTTTATTTCAACATCAGGGTTCGGCACTATACAGCTAATATATATATAACACTACTATAGTACAGTCGTGAGCCCGAGACTAGTGGATTTCTGCAAGGACTATAAGTGAATCACAAAACTGAACTTGTCCTTGGGAACAAATATCAGTGCTTTTTTAACTAAATTTTACAACTGCCTGTTCCTTTGTGAATTTGAAAAATATATCATTATTTTCATTGAGATTTGCAAGATATTCCTCATTTTGAGCAAAAAACTCACCTGGTAATATATATGTTATGATTATCTCAATATCATCAGACAGATAGTAGGCTATACAATAAGAATACTATATATAGTCCTTGTGGAAAACTGCTATAAAGACAGATATACTTTATGACAATTGTCATTTTTTCTAAAACCTACTATGTTTCACGGCTGTAGTTATTTTTTGTCTCCTACAGTTAACCTTGATGCTTTGTGCTGGAAATGTTTCCTTAAGGAAATCTTAGACTAGTTACATTGATGTAGGGCTGGTAAATAATCTGTTCAACTAGTCATGTGAACTACCAAGCATAAATAGAACCAAGAACATCTACAGTACATATATCAGACATAATGTTATCTTATTTACACTTATTCCATCTTTGCGTATTGCAGAGTTATCTTCTCTTGTGAGCAGGTATTGATTGTTACGTTATTGGTTTGTGCGAGAAAATTACTTTGTTTTCACAAAAATTGATGACGTTACTCTCACAAACAAATGACGTAACAATCAATACCTGCTCACAAGGCAGATAACTCTGCAATACGAAAAGACGGAATATGTGTGAGGGCATTAATAAAGTATTTGAAGATTGATTTTGTAAATTTCACTTTAGGAAAGATAAAGTGTTATGATTATTTTGTTCATATCAGAAAGAGTTATGATTTTCCATCAGCACTGCCAGTGATATCAAATTTAAAAGACAATGTCAAGTTAATATTTATATAATAAATAGAAAAAATGCACTTAAGCTTATCCTGAGCTCAAAATCATTACATTAAACTTTTATGAAAAACATTTCACACCTGGATACCATAAAATAGTTTTATCATAACCCTAAAGACACATTTGAACTCTTCCAATTTAAAGGATGGAATAGTTCATTATGAAATTTCAGGGGTGAATGAGTGAAGTTGGAAAAAATCAATTTAATTCTGGTTATTTTCGGGACACACATACAATGTACAATGTAGTACAATCCCAAACTAGTGCTTTTTTGCAGTTGTGGGACAAAAATCCACATTTTGAGAATCGCTAAGTAAAAGGACTCATAAAATGATAATCAGAACTTGCCAGAAAAAAGAAACTATACAGAAATCATTTTGTTTTAACGTAATTTGCCATGGAGTACCATATGGATTTAATATCAAGGCAGTATATATACAGTATGCCATTTTTACAGTATAATTAATCACATCAAGCCATATAAGTGGCACATTTTTAACCTGAAAACACAAAAATCATTTTCCGTATATAAAATGACAGGTCCGAACTATATATGCCCTGGGCAGCAGACTCATACCTGGTCACTAAGGCAACCATAGCTTTTTGATTAATTGATTCACATGTAGTTCTGTATGACACACACCCAAACATGGACACCAGATGCCAAAGGGCCCCACACAGGAAGTTTATCAGCGAAATTATGATTAATTATGCAAGTAATGTTTTAACAAAATAAAATAAAGGAGACTGAATGTTATTGATATCAATAATTAATAATCAGTACATGTATATATTTTACAACCTTTTATACACAAATACTATATAAATTCTAAAGCATATAAAACACAAGTACAAGTATACCCTGTGGGAGGCCCCTTCATCTGAAGATTTTTACCTGTTCACATGTATCAATCAGCCTTCAATCATATATTTTACATGACTAAAATATGGGGTGCTGACAGGCGAACAGTCGACTAGGAACATTATCCCATGTATACCTTACAGGCAGAGAATCTACAGTTATATAATAAGCTAAGGCAGAGAATTTTGCACAGCTCCATCTGGGTTATGCGATTAAATTAATATATATTGGAATCAATTCTGAAAAAGGACATTTTTATTAAAATGTGAAGAAAATGTCATATTTTTTTTATCTTAATATATATCTATAATGTTATGTGACGGTAAAAATATAAATTAATTGGCTTTCGCCCATCTTGGGGCTCTTCAGGCGATTTTAATTTATTTGTGTAGTCATAAATGGTGTACACATACTTAAGACGTCAAAACAATGATGTCATAAACAAAGTACACATAATGCGGATGTCTAGAAATTGTGACGTCTTAAAAAGATTACATGAGTGAACCTGCATTATATGCGTAAATGAAATATAAGGAAAAAGAAACGGAGCATATTTCAAATGCTCAAATGAGTACATGTACATTGTTCAGTAGTAAAGTTAAAAACATCTGATAGCAAAAATGAATTTCAAAGCACAATACCCAGTTGTATTTATATAGAGAGAGATTACCTCATTCACCCCTGAAGACACATTTGAATTCTTCCAATTAAAGGTTGGAATAGATCCGTTAAATGTTGAATGTTTAGACGCGATGATGTAAACACTCTCTATCACACACAAACACGCAAGCTACAAACAAATGAGTGACACTTCTATTTATGTCAGTGCTCAGTGAAATACTATATGTTCAATAATTACGAGTTCATATTCATATTTCCTGAATCTGTTTCATATAAATTGTGTTTGATCTGAAGCTATAGCGTAGACCACAGCTAGGTGCTGGACACGCAAAACATATGATATGTGTGTAATAGCAGTAATATGCTTTTGTATGAATTTCAAACCAAACTAGCTGATCAACAGTTGGAGTCTCCGTGGGTAAACACACAAAGGTCGGCTTGTAGGATAAGGATGTACATTTCTTTATCATATAGTTCTCCTTAATTATAAGTACCGTTCCATCGTTACCAAACTTTATTTAAAACCCTTAAGACCACTGGGGTCAGTACTCGGATGCGAGTAATGTTGACCTAAATATCCACAACCACTTCTGTTTATAAACACACCTGGATGATGAATCTCAGGTGAGAAAACGACATAAACCAACTTACCTTTCCAAGTCCATTATTTTGTTGTAGAATACTCAACACAGTTCCCGACCCAGCTCTTTGTCCAGAACAACATTCCAAACCACACAAAATCACTAAAATCACAAAAATACGTCGTGGAGACATGACCGCCGACATTTTAAAACTAACACACCTGCTGTTGTATCAGGGGCGGTAACTACTGCTGTATTTAACAGGTAACTATTGCGACGAATCAATCACTGACATACATAAATAGACTGATGACATGTTAGGTATATTTAGTCATAGTCTCGGGTGGAAATAGGTTAATACGATAGTTTACGAATCCATATAGTGTTTAATGTACAATGGGGTTAAATTCAGGTGAGGAATGTGTTCAGGGACTATTTTTCTCTTTATTGCCTCCAAAGATGAAGATTACAAAGAAATGTGGAACATATATACAAAGTATTTGGTACATATATACACGAATACATAATATGCATTACATAAATATACACTTTATATAAAGGGATGTGTATATAAGGTGTAAAATGATAAAATATTTTAGAGTAAACCTAAAAGGTTTCAGTATACAGATTGCAAATTGATTTGCACAAGCCAAGTAAATTATAATAAATTGTATTGATACGTGGTACGTAATACTTATACATGACTATGTATATAAATCAATGTATCGTTGTATTTGTTAATACATGCAATAAGAACATTTATTGTAGCATACTAACTATAAACGCGGAAGATACATTTGTGGGTCTGGATCACATAAGGGTGGGGGATATCCCTACCTGCGAGGTGTTACGGGCCCACATATGTATACTCCCTTGCATCTTAATCTGTAGTATAGTTCATATAGTATCTCATGTGATATCTTTTGCTAAGTGCACATAGCTTATAGAAAATTCTACATGAGATATGTATATATTTTAACTTTTAATCATAACTATTATATACATTAAGTATAATATAGTTTACACATCCTGTACACATAAATGATGGATTTTTTCCTGAAATCATTCAACTCTTCCTCACTAATTTTGTAGGTTATATTTCCTCCAATCATTATGTGTAATATTTCAAGATCTGGGTGAGAGTGTAAATAGACACTAAACAGTATATTATTGATATTAATTATACAGCACCATAGTTGATCCCTCAACTCGGAAGTATAAGTACACTGTAGCACTAGATGTGTCATTGGGTCTTGATATAAAAACCCACATTTATGACATAATTCCATGGTAGTCAAGCTACGGATGGTTACAACTATTGTCATTATATATTGTATATATTCTCTGTATTGAGGAAATCGAAACGCTAGCTTCCATAAAGTATTAGGTTTGAGTTGGTTATGTATTTCTCGAAACCTTGTAAAATCATTATCAACTTTCATACGTTCCTTTAGAATGTGTCCCTCATATTTCATTACAGAATTATATGCTGTGGTTTTCCAATCACTTTTCTTTCGAAAGATTCCAATTTCAACAAAATTATCTAGATTTTGATGCAACGAATACTTTTTTAATATTTTGACTTTGTCGGGGATGAATCCGTTCTGGTACGGTCTACCTAGTCGAAACAAAAAGAGTCTTGTAATAAAAACTTTATAAACAAGAGACATTGGTTTCATTCTACACAATCTTCCCAAGAATAATAATTTTCTAATGTCTATATATGCCTCAATAGAGGTCCAACCAAGTAAGGATGTACACATGTCTGTTCTGGTTCTTTTTTCAAACCCTTGAATAGATTTAACAATAAAATGTTGTGCTCTTTCTAACATTATTATTTCGGTTTTTGTCAATTGCCAAAGCTCGCACCCGTATAAGGCGGATGGATACACTTTAATTTTGTTAAGCTTCGCTACTGTTAAAGGGTTGAGAGCACAAGGATGTGCACCGGAACGAAAAAGGGACATCGTACCCGATCTTAACTTATTACATGCAAGTGTTGTTCTCTCAAAAGAGTTCTGTTTAAAGTTTAATAAAATACCAACATGTGTAATACCGTCAGTCTGTGGCATAATACAATTGTAGAGATAAAGATCTTTATACATAGTACAAGTTCTACTACTTGGGTTTGTGAAAGTTACAATTTTGCTTTTTACAGCAGATAATGAAAAACGCCATTTTTTACTATAATTCTAAATATTGATATCATTTTCTGAAGACTTTTAAGACTCGTACTCACCAGACAAATGTCATCTGCCTGTGTAGGAACATTAACATTTAAATGAACAATTACTGCACCTAAATCAGAATTATCTATTTCATTTAATAAATCGTTAATAAATACTAAATACATTTTGGAAGACAACGCCCCTCCTTGTACTATTCCACGTTCCATTTTGAGCATGGTGGACTTTAATCCATTAAGTTAAAAACAACTTTCAACATTTGTATACATGCATTTTAGTAAAATCCACGTCTTGGCGTTTAGACCGTATTCAATATTATGCCTAATGCATTCTTGAAGACTGAATGATGTGCATAAACTACACAAATGCTTTTGATAAGCAGACTGTTGTATCTTTGGAAATACAAGGGAATTTAAAACCCGTTGAATTCTTTGTGATAAAACCATTTCAAACATTTTAAATAATACAGGTAATAATGTAATCCCCCTGTAGCTATTGGGGTCTTCTTTCTTTTTACCTTGACCGTCGATTTACCCAATGCAACCCAATACAAACGTCGATTTACCCTACAGCCTAGGTATATGCATATGTTGAGTTACACTCAGAGACAGTATAATATTACTATATACTTTATTTCTGATTACCATATCATGATGTCGGGGGACCAACCAAAACCGAACACTGACAGTGTTAATACTCCACCAACGATAGAGAGCACTCTCAATCAACTTTTAGGTCTTGTTGGAAAGATGGACTTGAGATTAGATTGGATTGAAAGGCAAGTATCTAAATTTGACAATATCGAAAAATGTTTAAACAGTCTGACAGGGAGAGTTCAAGTAAGGGAAATCAACATGAGGGAGACTAAAGTAACGAACATTGAATTTCTAAAAAGTGCAACTGCTATTAATACTTTTTACGAACAATTGAAAGGCGAGTCTGAAAAACCGCTACAGATGTTAAGCTAGAAACAGATAGTAACATGTGAAGAGAATGCTAAGTGTTCAGAGATAGTGTTAATGAAGGCACTAGAGACCCAAGAGGAAATGAGAGAAAGACTAGAAGACCTGCAGTGTAGGTCTATGAAACGAAACTTAATTTTGCATGACCTAGCAGAGACATATACGGAAGACAACACAACACCAGCCTCTTCCTTGCCCCTGGTAACTCCTTGTCCACTGTCTGTCGCCGCTCCCACGAACAACACCAGAGGAAAAACTGAGAAAGTTTCTTCATTATGAATTGAAAATAAGCAAGTTTGTGGACCTGGCTAATGTGCACAGATTTGGAAAAAAGGTTCACAGGAAAACCTAGGCCAATTGGGGGAGTGTTTGTGTACGATAAGGACCTAGAACTGGTTAGAGATAAGGCGGGGTTGCTGCGAGGGTCACATTTTGGAATAAATGAACAATTTCCAAATGAGGTTGAGGTTAGGTGAGGACGCCTGTACCCAGTGGCAAAACGTTACAAGAGGGGCGGACATAAAGTGAAGTTGGTCAGAGACCGACTGTTCATAGATGGAGAGTTGTACATCGAGCCAGCTGGACATAATACGAAACAGCGAATGACATTCAGTGAGGTGGTCCAGACTCCTAGTAGGCGTGGCTGGAAAAGGACACGTAACCCGTCCACACCCTCGGGCCACATCGCTACTCCATCAGCAACCAGACAGCGTCGAGGTGATATATACAGTGCCCATCCTAGTACTCCTGGTCATCCAGTTGAGGATGGTGGTGCCGTTAGTTGGAGAGGACAACAAGGTTGTGAGTATTCACTCCCTAATACTTGTGCTGTGACAAAAGGAAGGAACCATGTTTATTCATGTGTGCCTCCTAGTACTTCTGGCAGTGGTGGTCATCTGTCAGTAGAGGAACGGAGGCCTGTAGACACAGTACCAAAGAGCATTACTAGTAAATAAAAAAATGTATAAAAAGCTTGAATATAAGTTAAAAAGAGAGTATAAATGGCAGCAAGGTGACATGTTGAATTATTTAAGAAAGTACAACCCGCGAACTTTTTACAAAACGTCTAGTAAACGTAAACAAAATTTAAATGTGGATTTAAGTGTAGAAGATTTTTACCATCACTTTTGTTCATTGGGATCTGGTGAGCCTGCGATAGACAGGTACATATCCGACTTCCTTAATGATTACGACGTGAATACTGATGATCTAATTCCTCATGAACTAGATATAGAAATAACGGAGATTGGGATTCTGGCTGCTATTTAAAAACTTGAAGCTAACAAAGCTTGTGGACAAGATGAATTTTTAAAGAATATTTTATTAACTGCAAAGATATTTCAATGCCATGTTTGTTGTTATTATTCAATAATATATTCAAGTCTGGTTATTTCCCCGTCATCGTGGTCACTTGGTAATATAGTTCCTGTTTTTATAAAAGGTGATATTAATAACACGGACAACTATAGAGGTATCACCTTGTTAAGTTGTGCTGGTACTTTTTTTACTGCTATCATAAACGATTTAGAAAAAAATCTTCCACTGTAGACTCCATTTTCGCTTTACAATATTTAATTATTCGTACTTTAAAAAAGAAAAAAAACCCGTCTCTATTGTTGTTTTATAGATTATACACAAGCGCTTGATTTTATTAACAGAGATAATTTATGGTATAAAATGATAACAGAAGGTGCTGAAGGTAAACTTCTTAAAGTGATCAGATCATTATATAAAAGTGTGAAATGTTGTGTTAAATATAATGGTATTCTCTCTGGGATTTTTTTATATTGAAAACGGATTATTTCAGGGGGATACCTGAACATTACTGTTATCACCCCTTTTGTTTGCCATATATGTTAATGATTTTTTAATGCAGTTTTTATCAGATAATTGTCCATCCATTGAAATACAGGAAATCAGTATGTTTTTACTTATGTATGCAGATGATATGTTGATTATATTTTAAACACCAGAGAGTTTTCAAACAATGTTAGACTCTTTTGCAAATTATACAAAAAAATGAGATTTGACTGTAAATACTGGGAAAACTGAAATTGTCGTGTTTAGAAATTGAGGG